CTTCTTTTGTATCCAGCGCAGACCCACGACTCACCCATCGCTTTCCTGCTGTCTGGGCTTTTCCTGCACCCCAGACGGTCCACCCCAGACTCCGTTCGCGCAGGATTCCCCCATGGCACCCCCAAAAGATCTCCGTCCCTTTCCCTTCCTCTGCCTGAGCCCTCTCGCCCACCCTGAACTCTAAGCCTAGCGAGAGGCCCACTAAAACAAGACCAAAACAATTAGTATGTCTACCTGTCGGTTTATTCTGTTTTTTTTTTCCCGCCTCCTGCGCTTTCTTTCACATCGTTGTTCTTTTCTTCTTCTTATTATTCTTTGCAACCCGATTTATGATGTCATCATTTTTAATACACACTTCCCTGGGGTGCCGATGCTGGGGAAAAAACGGTTCGAACTTTATTATTTATCTCATGGGCACCGTGTTTCCCATGGCATCTTTATCGCCATTACAGTATTCTAACCTCCCACACTGGAACCCCGACCCTTCCCCAAATTTTTGGCAACCCGATTTATGATGTCATCATTAGTTTCCTTTGGGGGGGGAAGAGAGGGCGGCTGTATTTTAAATGACGCCCCATCCCCTGCTGCGTCCTCTTTCTAATGGCACAAACCTCCTCTCTTCCCTCCCCTCCCCCCCTCCATCATCCTAACCTCTCTCTCTCACTTTGGGAGGCCGGCATACCCGCCCCGCACGGCTTTCCTTGCACCGGTGCGGGGCTCCGACTGCCCACCGGGGGGCGCCCTTCTGCTTCCTCCTCGCCGTCTCCGGACGCGGGTTTCGGCCGCCGGCAGCTCGCAGCACGTCGCACTTTCTCTCCCCTCCGCGCTCCTCCTTTCGCGGATCGCGGCAGCCGCCGGCTCGCCTCCCTCCTCCGGCTCGCCTTTGCTGCTCCTGCTCCTGCTCCTGCTCCTGCTCCTGCTCCTGCTCCTGCTGCTGCTGCAGGGGGAGGCAAGCAGGAGAGGAGCGCCCAGCCAGCCGGCCAGCCCTGCATCTCAGCCCCGCCGAGCGAGCTCTTCAGGTAGGAGATGCTGATGCCGCCGGCACCGCGCACCCGCCTCCCCAAATGTCCGCCCGCCCGCCTGCTCTCATTCTCCCGGACCCCCTGGACGCCGCAGCCCAGCGGAGCCGTGGCAAGCCTCCTCCTGCCTTTCAGAAGGGACCAGCCCTTCTGGGAGAGCTTGCGGATGCCTCCCTCTGAGCCTGCACCTCCCGGCCGGGAGAAGAAGAGGGCGAGGGGGGGTAAAGAGAAGGGGCCGCTGTTTGCCCACCCCCCACACACACCGCGCCAGCCCCCCCCGACCCTTCCAGGACGGGCGAGCCACCCTCGGGTCTCCAACGGGGGCGGGGGAATACGTTCCTCCTGCCCCAGGCGTCAAGGTCTCCGCGGGCCCCTGCCAAGAAGGCGAGGGCGCAGCTTCGCCCTTTCGCCGGGGTTGGGGGTCTTCTCTCGGAACTCGGGGCGCCGTTGTGTGTGTTTTTCTGTTCTTGCCGTTGCAAACGGCGCCCCTACCAAGAAGGGCTGGGCTGGGTGTCCTCTGCCGGGTCCGGACTTGAGGGGGTGGGGGCTGGAGAGCCTCCTCTCCTTCAGGGTGCTTCTGCCAGCCAGGGCTCCGTGGCCACCCCCGCCCTCTAGAAAAGGAGACCAGCTTGTCTTGTGCTTCCAAAACTCTTCTTCCCCATCTTGGGGTGTCCTCTCTCTTGTCGGGCTCCTGCGCCCCGGTTGAATGGTTGATTTTTTACATCTCCGGTCTGATCCAGTGGATATAGGTGACACCTTCTCTCCTTACCCCCCCTCCCCATTTCAAAGTTCCCCTACCTCACTTCTCTCACCTGGGTCATAATATCCAGGTCGATACACTATTGCGTGCATGGTGACACTGTCAACCACCCTACCTTTTTTCTTTAATTTCTCCCATCACTCTGAGACCCCCTCCCCCTTTATATCCCTGTGTTTCCGGAGCTCTGCATGTTAATTATCAAGGCTTTTGTGTGTGTGTGTGTTAGAGAGAGAGCTTTCCAGACAAGACAGGGCAGCTCAATCTGTGCAGCAGCTGGAGTGGTGGCTTTGGTGGCGGTAGGAAGAGAGGAAACTGAGCCACAAGAGTCCAGATCCACAGGCTTGGAGGGAATCCAGAGACCTTGCATGGAGTTTGGGGCCATTCTCTGTTTTGAAAAGCCTGGGGAGAATCAGGGCGGGTCTCCCCGAAGAGTGTGAAATGGCTCAGGTTCACAGCTGTTGGGTTGGTCTGTGTTAAAAGCAAGACAATATACCTGTTGGTTAAAAAGGGTTGCTGTGGGTTCTTGGGACATTGTCCTGGAACAAGGAGAGACCGGGCTAAGAGGGAACAAGTAGTCACCCAGAGTGTGTGTACACTATTGGGCAGTATACAAACTGACATGAGAGAGAGAGAGAGAGAGAGAGAGAGAGAGAGATGGTAAGAGGGTCGAGGTGGTAGAGGAAGGAAGGGGAGTGCTGATGGATTCCAGGAGATAGGGGGTGGGTGGGTGTTTGGGAGTGATGGCTGATGGGGGAGGATGGAGTGTTGGCACCGGGAGGTGGAGAGGGGGTGGGATCCGAGGGGAGTGAATGATAGACGCCTTAAAGGAACAGGATAGTGGCAGGTGGGTGGAGAAGAGACTGACAGCAAGAGAGATGGATGGACAGCTTAGGGGAAGAGGAAGGGAGGGCGGGCTGGCTGGCTGGGATAAGTTATGTCTGATTTCCCAAACATTCCTTCGGTGCCTCTAGAACTGTTCCTTCTTGGGGCTGATCAGCATCTCTTGACCAGGCTGGCAGGAAGCTATTTTCCCTTCCTTCCTTTGCAGGCCTTTTGGAAATGTCACCTTGCCCTGAACCCCGACTTGCGAGGAGAAGCAGAGGGTACGGATGGGGCATCTTGCTTACAGAGCCAGTGTTGCTTCCCGTTGTGCGGTTATGGCGCTCGTAATTTGGACAATGCTGTGAGGCTGTGTTGCTATGTTGTGCTTCTTAATTTATGGAGAGGTTTGTGTGCGTGCAATGTAGGCACGTGCACGCTTGCAAAATATTGTGGCATTGTCTCCTCCTTTTGGTTTCTCCTTTGCAGTGTTTTGAGAGGATACCGTATGCTTGGGTGCGTTATCGTCTTTTAGGAGCTGGGAACTAATAGGGTCTCTTCACCAGCTTTTTCACTGGTTCAAAACTCATTGAAGAGGGATTTTAGCTGCTAGGATGTTTCAAATACTGGGTTTTTACTGCAAAGTTTTCCCTGAAGTTATCTGCCAGCAGCATGAACAGAGAAGAGCGATGGAGGCACTGGGCTAAGGTATAACCTGAACAGAATCTGCAAAACAAGGATCAAGGCTCTAGAAATTAGACAGGTTTTAATGCCTTCAAATGGTGCACGGTCTCCTTTTCCAGTTGGAATAATTTCGACGTGTTTTCAGGGTGATGGGGGAAATTCCAAGTAGCATGTTGTTGAGAGACTTTGTAGATGAGACAGAGTGAGGGAGTTTCTCTTGGCCATGTGGCCTAACACTGTAAAGCACATTTAGGAACGGAGCATATCTGATAGGGAGGGAAAAAGGAATCAGAGGCACAAGGTGGTGCAACTCACTGCCATCCGAAAGGATCAGTCCAGTCTTTCATTGTGTAATGATGATAGTATCAAGACTAGATGCTTGCTAGCGGCCCTGGTGGCACCTTTTTACCCAGATAGGAAGCAAAACTATGTATTTGAGGTGCATTTGGCATAACTAATACTTGATTTAGGAGACCTGTGTGGTGCATATGAATAATACATTCTAGGAACCTGGCTGTATAATGTGCAAAGATGATGATGGATCTCTCACTTGTCTCACTGGAGAAGGCCAAAGCTCCATCAAAGCCCAGCATCCTGCTTCCCAAAGTGGCTAATCAGATATTTCCCGAAGCACCAACACAAGCCACCGGTGCAAGCAAAATCCTACTCCCCAGTCGCAGCACACGACCTCCGAACAAAGCAGACAGGATTCGCCAACAGGGCGAATGGATCCATCTTCTCTCGGACGTGTTTTCAGCATTCGAACCCTTGGTATGTCTTAGACCTGCAAATCCTTAACAACAATCTTGTATGGTAGATCAGTGCCATAGTTCCATCTTATTGTGGGCGATGAAAAGCAAAATTGGATTGAGGGCACAGAAGAGTTTTTTTTTTTCCCCTGTGGTCACCTAGTATGCTAAGATTTGAACTGGGTTTTTGGGGTCTTGAGTTCATGCTTTGCTCCCTTATCTTGCCCTGGGGCTCTTGCAACGAACATTCATGCCCCCCATGAATGATCAGGACAGGCCAGGAAACCATCATTTTCTGCCCCAGTCTCTGCTGTACATTGCATTTCCTCATCACTAATCAGACCTCTTATCTTTTCCCAACTGGGCATCAGGATTTGTCCTTCAAGGCCGTGACCCTGCAGAAAGTTAAATCTGTTCTGCCACGATTGTCCTGCAAAGGTTTTTGTTTAATGTTTTCTCCACTTTTCCTGTGGAGAAGCTCAGATGCTAGGTTGCGAGGGAAGTCTACGAGCGGTGTCCCCCAACCTTGGGCAACAGGCAGGAGATGTGTCTCCCAGTCACCCACCTCCTTTTGCAGCTGTGGCACAACAGACGAACACAGCCTTCTAGGGCGAAACCCTAGCAAGGAGTATCTGGGATTAATTACTGCATGCCGTGCCCAGACGGGGCAAAGATAATGAAAAATGCATGTCATTTTAACATGCACACATAAAATCAGAATCTTGTAGGGCAGGAAGATTGACCTGGAAAATCAATAATGGGCCGTAGGACAGCTGTTCTAATTAAGTCCTCATGTGAGACAACTATTCCTCTGTTCAAAGCCTGGCACAGCCACAAACTGAGTGAGTGGCTTGAGTTCACCCCTGGGGTGCTTTCAGGCACCTCCCATCATTGCTGCACACAGTAATCATAAAACTCGCTGACCTTGGGGGGTTGTTGTAATTGTATAGCTGAAGACAGAAAACTGGCATTTTAGGCAGCGGGTGATTAGAAGAGGGGAATTCTTAAGGTCTGGTTTTGTGTGAGTGTCACAACTGGAGCTTCTATTAAGCAAGGAATTGCCTGGAAGCCGAATTCCTTCGAAGACCGCCTTAGTCCCGTCTCTCCAACACAAGGAGACTTTTTGCCTCTCTGTGTGTATCTGAGAAAACGGAAGACTGGGAAAGTTAACATTTTTAGGTGATCGCTCTTAAAATCCCTTTCAATCAGTCCCCATTCCCTGTGCTTGGAGAGGGCTGCTGCTGGTTTTGGAAGCTGTAAGCCGAAAGAATACCTTTTCCGAGCTCTAGAGAGAACTCCTCTCTTCTCTCTTTTTCTGGGGGGGAAAATGCCTGTATTTATTGAGCTGTACAAGTGCAAACGCACAATGTGTTCCTTGTTCTGTTCTGAGCCAGAAGGCAGGACTAGAACTACTGTGTAGGCATGGCAGGAAGGCAGATTTCAGCTGAACCCTGAGAGAAAACTTCTTATTGATAATATCTGTTGACTATGGAACAGGCTGCCACCGACGGGGAGGGGAAGGGGGTCTTGAATGGCCGGTGGTGTTTAATCAGGGATTGGTCAGCCATGTATTAGGAATGCTGCTGGTATAGTTACATCTTGCACTGCAGGTCTCCTATTTCACAGATGGCTGGACTTTTAAAAAACAACACAAAACCCTCACCACTCCCTCACCCAATATCCTTTCCGACTCTGTAATTCTGTGACTGTGATTCGTTTCAGGAGCCACTGTGATGTGATGGGTAGAGTTTTGGGCTGGGGTTGTGGAATTTGGGGTACAGGTCCCTTGATGAAGCTCAGCGGATGACCTTGCAGCCTCCCTTTTTTTAATCTCAGACGGATCAACCTCGCAGGGTCGTTGTGGGCAAAGCATCCGAGCCATGTGTGTCCCATTGAGCTCATGGGAAGAGAGAGGAGCTTTCAGTGGAACAGAAGAATTATATTTTCCATTCGGTAATTGCACGGCAGTGACTCTTTTCTATTATCAA